ATTTTTTATATAGTAATAATATTACTAAAATTAATATTTAATATTTTATAAAGAAATTAACAATTTTTTTTAATTTCACAGGCAAATTTGCCTGCTAGACAATTTAAGGGATAACATAATAAAAATTAATAAAATTTTTTATCTTCAAATTTTAAAATAAATTATTAAATAAAAATCCATTAATTTAAGATATGAAATGGTTAACAATTATAATTTTATTTTATTTTTATTTATTATTATTTATTATTTGTATTGTCTTTTTTTTAATATTTATATTTTTTTAACCATTTTTATATGTACCAAAATTTGTCAAGAAAAACCATTTAGTATCTTCAAATTAAACAAAAAATACAAAACATGAAAATTCAAAAAATGTGCTTATAAAAAAAAAAGACTTACTATATATTGTGATAAGCATTTTTTTTATAATTAATCATTTTAGACGTGATTATATAATTATTTTGTATGATGATAGGATGTTTATAACTTAAATAAAATTATTAACTTGCTTAAAGTAGAAAAGCTTCATTTATTTGGCTCTGTCATTTTATCACGATCACTTAATGAGTAAAAATTTTTTTTTGTTAAAAAAATTTTTTCACACGGCTGATTTCTTAGTTTAATAGTTTAAACGCCCGACCAAATAAGGCTTAATGATAAATGCGAGATTTGTTGATATAAAAGGTGTTGGATTTTCGATCAATTTCAAATATAATTTTTCCAAAATGCAAATTTACGGTCTTTGTTTTGTAATTGAAAAAGAAGTGAAGTCAATTCCTTTACAAAATGTTGTCGTTAAAGCTGATAGTAAGATAACATTGATTACTCTGTATTATGTTTCCGAATAATCAATAACAATCAATAACATTAACATTCCTTTTTCAGTCGTTGATATGATCAGTGAAGGTACAGTGATTCAATGTAGTAATCTTTAGTGATATTATAATGTAATCCTATAATGATTTCCTTCTTTTTTAGTTACTATCAGCCAGACTTATAAAAATGTCGAAAAGGATACCATCGAAGCTCTTTATAAGTTTCCTATTTACGAAGCCGCAGCTATCTGCGGATTTGAAGCGGAAATTGATGGACAAAGAAAAGTAAAGGGTATCGTAAAAGAAGCAAAAGAGGCTGCTAAAGAATACACCGAATCAATTCAGGTAGAATATCAAAATCCCATTTTCAAATGTTATTATTGTGTGTAAAAGAATTAACATATAATATTATATAATTGTTTAGCAAGGGCATGGTGCTTATTTGTTAGAATCAGAGTCAGAAGAAATATTTCAATGTTCGGTAGGGAATATTACATCCGGTCAAACTGTAGTCATAAAGATTACATACGTTACCGAACTTAAACATGATTCCGAAACCGAAAACATTCGTTTTGTTCTTCCAACTTATATCGCACCAAGATATGGTTCATCATCATCCTCATCACATGATGGGAAAATACTTGAGGCTGATGTTGTCTCTTATTCTAATAAAGCTGATTATAGTTTAGATCTTGCAGTTACTTGTAGGATGACTTCAATTATTCAAAATATTGAATCACCTTCACATAAAATTTCTACCGAAATGAATATCGGTGAGGATCCTAAAATCTCAAAAATTACTTTGGCAGAACAGATTACTTATCTAGAAAAGGATTTCATCCTTGTGGTTAAGAGTAAAAATCTTGATCAACCAAGGTAATTATTTTATGCCAATAAATTTGATTTTTAAATTCTTTTAATTCATCATTATTATTATTTTTTTTAAAAAAAAATAAATTTTTTTTCAGGGCTTTCGTTGAATACAATCCTGAAACTCAAACCAATTGTGTTATGTTAACTCTGATTCCGAAATTCACGTTAAATACAATTATGACCGAATTAATTTTTGTTGTTGATAGGTATAGTATAATAGATAACTTTGGTATAAGATTTATTATTTTTTTTTATAATGTATTCTGCATCTCTTTTTTTTTGGTTTTTTGATAAAGATCGGGATCAATGCGCATTGAACCTATGAAAAAAGCTGCGCAGGCACTTGAGTTAATATTACGTTCGATTCCAGGGGATTGTTACTTTAATGTAGTATCTTTTGGATCTCACCACGATTCTCTTTTTCCAAAAAGTCAACTTTATTCCGAAACATCTTTATCTAAAGCTATTGAACTTGCTCAATCAATGACCTCAAATTATGGTGGAACGGAAATTTTTGATGTACTAAAATGGGTGTTTGAGAATTCAAGGGAAGATATGCCATCTTCTGTATTTCTAATTACAGATGGTGAAGTTTATAATGTTGAACAAGTTGTAGAACTTATACGTGAAAAGGAAGAAAATAAGAAGGATGATTTACGTGTTTTTTCATTAGGGATTGGTGATTCTGTTTCTCATAATTTAGTCGAATCTGTTGCTCGTGCTGGTAGAGGATATTCCCAATTTGTAACAAATAATGAAAGGATGGATAAAAAAGTTATTGGAATGTTGAAGAATGCATTAAAACCACCGATCAAAGATTATAAAATTACTTGGACTGATGTTGATTTCTCCGAATCAACGGAAAAAAAAGAAATTCCAAAGGAGGAAGATAAACCTGTTATTAGCTTGTATAGAGACAAGACGGAACCTCTATCACCTCCAAATAATATCTTTACTGATATAAAGATTCGACAAGCTCCGTATTTAATTCCACCTATTTATCCTGGTGTTCGTTTCATTGTATATTGCATCTTAGAGAATAATATTAAACCGCGTCAAGTTATCACTTTAAATGCCACTTCTCAAGATGGTCCCATGAAGCTTGATATTTCTTTGGATCCCGTTACATTGCAAGGTTTAAAGATCCATAGATTAGCAGCAAGAAAACTCATTCAAGATCTTGATGATGGAAACTCATTTCTTCATAAACATCCTAAAAATTCTGGTAAACTTATTCCAGCTTCATTAGTTAAAGAACATATTGTGGACCTCGGTAAAACTTTTAATCTAATTTCAAAGCATACAAGGTATAAATAATATATATGGTTATATGTATCTAAATTTCTTTCTTATTAAGGATTATTTTATTTTATAGTTTTATTGCAATTGATGAAAGAAATAATGACGTTGTATCTGAAGCTAAGACGATCCCCAAAAGACAAGTTCCTCAGAATGTTTTTCTAAGTGGTACGAGTGCTTTGTGTATGATGGGTAAAATAAAAAAAATTACAATTTATTTGCATATTTTAAGTGAAATCATTTAATAATGTTCTTTTTACTTTATAATTTTATTCATTGCAAAAGCGACTTCGAGTTATATGGCAACGGCGTCAATTTCAAAAATGGAAAGGTCAGGAATACGTTTATCACATGTTGTATATACAATTGAAAACAAATATTTTTTTTTTTTCATTATTAACGTAATTTTCCAATTAGAAGATCAAGGGTAGTAATCGATCATAAAGAACCACATACTGAAAATTTATATGAATTTTTAAATTTGCAATCATTTGATGGTAAATTCTTGCCAAATGAATCATTTTATAAGTTTTTTTATAAAAATGATGTAAATGATTTCAGTGATTTATTCGGAGAGATTAAAAAAGAATTAGGTGATAATGAAGAAATAGAAAGTATATTAAGTACTTGTATTGCTATAGCTTATCTGGAAGTTGTCTTGTTTGAAAAATTTAAGGATGAAAGTGAAATGTGTTATGAAAAAGCTGAAAATGCTTTAAAGAAAGTTGTTGGAGATGAGAATAAAGAAAAAATTGTTATTGATAAAGCTAAAGAATGGATTAAAAATTGGGCGGGTAAATAGTTTAAATTGCGCAGATTGGTATATATAGTATTTGGATGTATTTATAAATTATTTCGATATATAATAATATATGCATACCTAAATGAATAAACCATTAGCTTGCTTCTATTATGCAACACAACGATATTGAAGTCTTTTTGCCACAAACTACACACTCTAATAATTCAGGGGCTTGGGGGTGATATAACTTAACCGCTTTTATAAAATGAAATTTAGGCTGTTTATTTCCAGATCAAGATGTCTTATTGATACTTTGATACTGAATATATCGTATCGGATACTAGACATTCAAAAACTCTGTTTACGCGAGGTAACATTGATATTAACTGGTATAATGTAGCCAGAATATCTTGCAATAAACAATCAAAATATTTAAATATAAAAAATTTTATTCAATACTGACAAGAATATAATACAATGTTAACTGTTCATAGTATACATTATTTACAATTAAGTTTTCATAAGCGCTTTCTGACAAATCCTCATACCCTTGAAATTGAATCCAATATGAATAAACAGGTTAATCATATCATATAGGTTCAAATCCCAAAGTCAGGCCAAAACCTGACCCTTTGTTAACAACTTGAGTAAGATGTTCCTTGTCCCTTTTACATCCTGATCCATCTTCAATTTGCACACCAAAAAGTCTTAGAATCACCCAGTCTGTCATTAATTTGTTTGCAATGTCTACACATCTTAGAAGTGTATTCTTTAGTACACTCAATGATCTTGCAATATTTGTATTCTCTTATCTTATACAAAAGAAACATTTGAAATCTGAAATACGACCAGGTTAGCATTGCACAAGCTGTTCTCAATCAGATCTTCTTTTATTCTTAAGCACCATATGTGATGTTTCGAATTTGGATAGCAAAATGATCTCATAATTCTGACATAACTATCAGGCTAGCTGATGATAACACTTATTTATCAAATTATGGATTCATTGTATGATTCATAGCATTTTTTTTAATCAAAATCTCTTTCTTATTTGTTTTTCACAAAGCAAGATCCCTGTCACTTTGTAATTTGTTATATTTCTTGGATGATTTGAATACTTTGTTAATATCATCATTATCTACTCAATTAATTGACTATTGGATCATAACTGATCATAAATGTATAAACATCTGCATCTAGTAAGATTATCTTTTCACGAACATCATCTTGATTATTGATAATATTCAAAAAAATAAAAAATACAAATAAAAATGTTCTAGATGATTCATAGTTATATTAATTATGTTATTAATCTCTGGTGGTTATTTTGAGATGATAATATTCTTTAGAAATGTATATTTTATTCTGATCCTATTCTAATTCTTGGGATAATTTGTATTCAATTCTTCTTTGATCAGTACTTTATTCAAAATTATTTTCATGCAACTTCTTGTTTGTTTTGTATGTACTCATTAATTGTCAAGTTGCATATGAACATATATTTTTATATATTTCTTTTATCCATTTTTTAGCTGTAAAGCACTTATTGTTCAGATAGTACTTTCATATAATATTCATATTAATGATCCCATCATTCTACATATTCTACATTATCTCAAAAACTTTATTATATTGGTAGTATGCTATTAATATTGAGATATAAGACATAATAAATCATATGATATGATCTACATCTCAATTTTAATAGCATATTACTTATATGGGTGGTGTATTATTAAAATCGAGATACAGATCATATGATTTACTGTGTCTCATACTTTAATTTTAATAGCATACCACCCATATATTCATTTTATGGTTTTTATTCATTATTTTAGCTTTTTTCTTTTTTCAGACATTAAGTAAATCTGTATCTTTCATGTTTTTAATCTCTTTTTGTTGTTTTTAATTCTCAGCTGATTTGGATCTATTGTGTCTTGCTGTGAAGATAGTAACAATCAATAATAAGTTCTCAATAAGCTCTTTGAATTCAATATCATTAATGTTAACATCTGAATTGAGTATCACAATCTTTGTATTATGCTTAATAAAGATCCATTTGATCAATTCAAAAGTAAAGTGGTAGAGTTGGTTTTTGCAAATAATCATAACCTCCTTGATATCACCTCATTATGATCATTTTAAAATGAACATAAAATCCTTAAGTTTTTAGTTAAGACCTGATCTGATATTCTTGATGAGTTTATAGTCTGAACATTTCTGCCTGGGGTACTCGTATTACATGTTAAGATCCTCTTTCTGCTTTTCTAAACTGACCCTTACATAACAGATTTTTTTTATTTATTCTTTCTTGATTTTTAAATATCTTCTTCATATAGGCCAAAAAGGGGATTCTGGTGCAGATTTCTAAAAGTTATCCAGAAAGATTCCTTTCCGCCTACGAACCCAGTTTGCTATATGATTTCCAATATCAAATTCAAAGCTCTAGCGCTTTTTTGACTCAAATATA